TTCAGGTGCCGGCTCAGGTTTCATTCGATGTGTGTACACGGCAAAGAATACGGTCAATGCTACAGTCACTCTTCTGTAAGTCTGTTTTGTCAGGACAATATTATTCTCCAAATCCCTTAGGGTCTAGGGCCAATACCAAGAGCATCCAATTCGTATCCAATCATCCGAACTCAAATTCACCTTATTTTGACCATATTTCTTGCTAACTGATCACTGCAAAGCATTTGTATCAATGGCACTTATATTTTTGAGTGCACTGAAAGATGTTTAACGAGATTGTTCAGTTTCTACTTAATATAACCAGTAACTAAGTTACTCCGTCAAAATTCGTTGTCTCTACTCCAGTCTTCAGTAGCTTCAACTCCTCAGATGTCCACTAACCTCTCGGCTACCACTTTATTTACAGATGTGAGAAAACGCAAGGTTGCTGTGAGCATGGCTGCTGTCCAAAGGACCAATTCTGGTGGGTTGTTGCTTACATTGCTCTGATTAAAGCGGTACACTCTGATCACTTTATGAACAGAGTGATTACTGCTAGATGAAGACTGCAAGCTGTGCTAGCATGCCTTCTCTTATTTTAATGTTAGAATCCCAGTTCAATGAACTGACCAAATGTGAACAGATAAACGTGTTCATTAGCAAATCTCAAATAAATGGTCATATCTATCACGTAACCACTCACGAGACAGTCTCCACTGCTTCGAACACACTCCAAAAGTGAGTCAACAGTTAAGGGGTGTAAGCAATGAATTGTAATCGAGTGATTTTTCAGGATGGCAGGCGTTTTCGTGCTGCTGGGATTCGTACTGTTAGTGTTCGTCGTCGGTGCGTGTGTTGTGTTCGTTTGTTATTGGCGTTCAAAAACAGAACAACGCAAAGAAATGCAAAAAGAATACGAATACAACACTTCTTATGGATCACAGGTGCAATCTTCTAACTTATATCAACCCTTGAAAAACTGAAGTAAATGTTGTTTCGCTGAAGGTTTCCAGAAAAATGAAATTATCTATCATAAGTTTAGCTTAATGTGTTCTTGTAAGCAGCATATGAGCGTGAAATTATGAGGGTCATTGTGAGTACAAGATAAATGTCTGTCTAGTTTGGAACATATCCTGGCGGTGCTACGTATCCTGGCGGAGGCATGTATCCTGGTGGATATCCTGGAGCGTATTCAACGTACGGACCCGCAGGACAATCACGATACTGATTTTATAAATTGTTCGATTGAGCCATTCACTGTCTATTGTTTGTATACGTGTTGTACAAATCTGAACACTTTCGTTTCATCAATCAGCAAATAAAAATATTTCATGACTGTTGATTGTGTTCATTGACGAGTTACATTTCATAACATCCAACTCAAAAGGCATCGAAAAATCTTCCGAAGGGTCTTTTTTTTTTAAAACAAACTCATTCCACTCATTTGATGCTCATCCTAAAAAGGTATTTTAAGACTCATTGCGACTTTCCATTGCGGATGTCATCGTTTCTAAGCGAATAAAGAATTGCATTCGCACTTCTATGAAAACTCTACGTTCGGTTATTTCACACCAGCCTTACTACAATGTTAAGCCATGAATCGTAGACATATATTTTGATACAATAATGCGACGGACGGCAAGCTGGTCGAAAGAACATCTGCTACCGGTCCAACGTCGACATCTTTAAAGGTGAATGCAATTTTCATAAGATGATATCCATCCAGCGTATGTGCAGTGTTATCGAACGGTGCTAAATGATGCTATCGAGTAAAAGTCAAGAACATGGCAGAAGCACAAGTATGAGATATCTTCAGATATATTTCGAGCCATTTTGAAAATTTTCTCAGGATAAACACCAAAGAGCGACAGCCCACTGAGTGGTACTCAGTGCATACCTCGCCTAGAGCATTCCATTTCATGGTATTTATGGTTGTTATAAGAGAAGTTTGAAAGTGTAATTAAAAGTTCAGAGAGCACGATTGCGGTGAACGATAAAAGGCTGGAGTTTCCACTGGATTACGGGTGTTATATCAACTGATTTCTTTCATTACGACAGATCCTGGTTGAAATGGCACTGAATACTGCCACACTTGTGACTTCCTTATAACATTTTGGAACATTTGTATTCGAAAGTTTTTTTTTCGATTCGAAGGGAAATTCGAAGGTTGCTGAAGTTACGGAAATGATTTGATGAATTATTTTCAGTGTTTTGCAGCAAAGCAAGTTCTCTGATCGTTTTCTCGTTAAGAAATTGCTTCGAACATTCANGCCAGCCCATAGTGCTTGCTAGTGTAGAGAATTTTTTAATGGTGCATTACGCTCACAATCAGTTTTTTTACTGGTGACACTTAGAAATGCCAATTCAGTATGATCGTCGACTATTTCCAAGAAATAGTTAGGCTTTCAATATCACATAATTGCGTGCAGTCATACCGTAGATGCGTGTTTTAAGACGTCTTTGAAATCGGTGGTGATTGAGTCAATCCCTTGGTAACGCTTAGAGAATGTTTTAATGCCCGCAGATGGAATGAATGCTGCTATTCTTAGCATCAGCTTAGTAATGCAGTTAAGTATGATTGAAAATGCAAAAAGTAGAAATCAAGACGGTTTGTTGATATTGAAAGCATTAATTTCGGTTGTTCCTATACACTCGTAGTCGTCGTCGTCAGTTGTCATAGAAACACTGATTTAACACTTTAATGATATCCCCAACCACTTTCATAACTGATACTCCAACATCGTCTACGTTACTAATTAGACGCCTAAACAATGAGATTCACGACTGAATGCACACCTTGGAGAATTTCAAACGCAATTTAGCCTGCTGCATCGGATGTTAATGCTGCTGATCACTGCAAACACATTACTTTGCGAAATCAGATTGCGAAACGACTCACTCATGCATTCACTTGTTTGCGATACAGAAGTTGTCTTATTTATTTCCTTATGAAAGATGATATTTCTTTGGTTTATTCCGTATGGTTTTCAAGACTAAAATTCGTTCAGGTCTGCTTTCCAGGTGCCGCCATTGCCAGATCTCAGCGCCAGATTCATTCAGGTGATTTATGCATCACTTTGCGTGTGAATATTTGCCGGCATGCAAATGAACCAACCATTTCAATGGTGCTCACAAATTAGTGAGTGTCTCAATCTGTAACGTTCACATGACATTGTTGCGTGACAAAAGTGTTCGATCACCTCATAATTTATAATGGAGTACACTTTCAAGCAGAGTATACTCGCAACTTTTGAGAAATCCCGTCTCGTTGGAGATGGCGGCTGGTTTTTGCGTTGGAAATTCAAGAAGCCATTGGTTGACGGCTCTTTAGAGCTGCTTAAAAACACCTCGATTTGTTCATAATGGCTTATGCAAGCAGCACAGTAAATGAGGGATAGATTTGCAACGAAATTAGTGATACGTTACATCAGAAGGCATCAATTTAGTAGATCGAAAATTTCACCACATCACATCGATATGCACTTATAATTCTCTGTGCAAGATGTTTTTTGATCTATTGAGATTTGTATTAGTCCATCCTTGTTTCACCGAACTCAGAGAAGTTTCCAAAATGTCAATCTTCCAACCGAAGCAAATGTCATAATGAATTCATGTGGGTACCTCTAATTCAAATAGATTCTAAGCATTTTCAATTGATAATTTTAAACAGACTATTGTCTGCGCTACATTTCCCCCTTCTGCGCTACAATTCTTTCCCTTGGTGGGCGAAGTTTCAAATAAAACATGTGACGAGAATGACCTAAACGTTTGGATTGTTTACTCAATGTGATCCAATATGACTGAATCACACATCAATGGCATTCAGAAATTCTATGGAAGAGTATTTTTCCGACTACGATAATTGAGTCAAGTTACGTATTTAAATGATACGATAATTGAATCGAGTACGTATCTAAATCATGACTACAATCACGTTTGCAATAGCACGAGTACAGATATTCTGTAGAAGGCGTGGCACTATTCAGAAGGTTGCTTTTTGAGTGGTTTTAGTGAGAAATGTCGAGCGGTGTTTCTCTGAAACAATGTGATCGTTTAAATGGGTTCTAATATTTATTATGTATTCAATTTACTCAATCGTAATTCATTCGTCGACTGCTTCATTCAATTCGTCGCCGCGTTCACATAATTGATCATTCGCGTTCAGTTCATCTTGGGCACATTTATCCGAATCGAAGAACTCCTTATGTCCGATGCTCGTAGAAACTATAATTCAATTCCTCCGCGCTAAAAACAACCCATCTGCCTGGGATAATTGAACTCGCATTGAGTTGTTCAGCACAGTAACGCTTCTTGAGATGCACATTTAATGAGCATTTCACTCCTTGATATGCCTTAAATCACATCAATGCTTATTATACATTACTATAGAAATATAGGTTTGATACATTCAGGAATGCTTATTATACATTACTATAGAAATATAGGTTTGATACATTCAAGACTATCTCAACTAGTGCTGAGGTGCTCATTGATATTCAATTGATCACTACAGATCAATGCTATAATACAACTTAGAAATATAGGTTTGATACATTCAAGCCTACCGTCTTCTCAAGTTTGTCAAGTAACATATTAATGTTTGTACATCGCTTATCGCTTAAAAGATCGCTTATCGAATTATCGAAAGAGCGATTTGAATATCAGTTGTTTATCAGTTGTTCGTTTATTATCT